ATGATGATGATGATGATGCTGACGATGGTGATGATGATGACGACGATGATGATGATGATAATGATGACGATGACGATGATGATGATGCTGATGATGATGATGGAGGATGATGATAGTGTTTATAATGATGGTGATGCTGAAGATGGTGATGGTGATGATGTCGACGATGATGCTGATGGTGATGATGATGATGATGATGATGATGATGATGAATGGTGGTGGTGGTGATGGGTGGGTGAGTTGGTGGAGTGGGTGTGTGAGCGTGAGTGGGTGCGTGGTGATCACGGTGATAATGCTGGTAACAATAAGGTGTGTGAGGTGTGGTCCCGCGCGGGGAAATCATGTGAGGAACGATGATGATGATGATGATGAGGATAAGGATGATGACGATGATGGTGGTGATGGTGGTGATGATGACGATGATGATGATGGTGGTGATGATAATGATGCCGCTAGTGATAACGAGGGTGATGATGATGATGGTGATAATGATGATGATGCTAATGATCAAGATGTTGCTGGTATGCTGATGATGGTGATGGTGATGATGATGATGATGATGAGGACAAGGATGATGACGGTGATGGTGGTGATGATGACGGTGATGGTGGTGATGGTGGTGATGAGAATGATGCTGCTAGTAATAACGATGGTGATGATGATGATGATGATGGTGATGATGATAATGCTAATGATCAGGATGTTGTTGGCATGCTGATGATGGTGATGGTGATGATACGTGTGATGATACGGATGATGGTGATGCTGATGCTGATGCTGATGCTGATGCCGATGATGGTGCTGATGTTGATGCTGATGCTGATGTTGATGCTGATGATGTTGAGGTTGATGATGTTGATGATGCTGATGATGATGAGTGCGTGCGTGCGTGCGTGCGTGCGTGCGTGCGTGCGTGCGTGGGCGTGTGAGGAAGAGAGAGGGGAGGAGGAGGAGGAGGAGGAGGAGGAGGAGAAGGAGGAGGAGCAGGAGCAGGAGCAGGAAGGCGAGGAGAGTCTGCGCGGGGGGGTTCTTGTTCCTGCACGGGGTGTCCAGAGAGAACAAGAATCCCACTTAGGGTGTGGGAAAAGTATCCTCAGACGATCCCCATGAGCCTTCTGATGCCTACGAGCCCTATGAGGCCCCATACGCCCTACCAGCCACGTGAGCCCCGACGAACCCTATGAGTCATATAGGCCCTACGAGCCATAAAATCCCCATGGGCCCTTCGAGCATCATTAGCCCTATGGGCCCTATGAGCCCCATGAGCCCTATGCGCCCCACGAGCCCGATGAGCCCCACGAAAGCACACTCTCCTGTCCTCTCCATCCTCCTCCTTCTCCTCCTCCTCCTCCTCCTCCTCCTCCTCCTCCTCCTCCTCCTCCTCCTCCTCCTCCTCCTCTCCTCCTCCTCTCCTCCTCCTCCTCCTCCTCCTCCTCCTCCTCCCCCTCCTCCTCCCCTCCTCCCCCTCCTCCCCTCCTCCTCCTCCTCCTCCTCCTCCTCCTCCTCCTCCTCCTCCTCCTCCTCCTCCTCCTTCCCCGTCAACCGTAGATTTCCGGGCCCTATAAGCCCTATAAACCATACGGGCTCTATGGGTCCTATGAGCCCTATGAGTCCAATGAGCCCGACGAGCCCTCTGAGCCCTACGGGCCCAGCGGGCCCTATGGCCCCTATGTTGCTTGTGGGCCTCATAGCGCCTACGAGTCCGATGGGCTCTATCAGCCTCATGGGCCCCACGGCCCCGCGACCCCTAAGAGCCTCAAGAGCCCTATGAGCCCTACGAGCCCTACGAGCCCCGTCGGTCCTATTAGCCTTGCGATCCCGACGACCCGTTCTGAACCTGATGAGCCTCCTGGGCCCAATTCGCACGATGACCCTTACGAGTCCCATGAACCTCACAAACCCTATGAGCCGACCCACTCCATGGGGCCCAAGAGCCAGTGGCTTCTATGAGGCCCAGGACCCTACGACGAGCCTCCACGCCAAATGAGCTAGGCCAAACCAGGCAAGGGTCCGAAATCTGCAGACTCGCCGCGTCGGGGCGCCCGCACCGAACTCACCGTGGGGTCGAGGCCTCCGGACTCAAGCGCTCGCAGCCGTTGACCCTTGCTCCACTCTCTTCCGGCACCGAAAACAGCTCACGGTGACATGGGTTTAGTAAAGAGCTGCAGACCAAGCACCAAATGGGGTCGGGACACACACACACACACACACTGTGACTTCATGTTGCAGGCAGAGTAACCGCACCCGGCAGCCTAGAATTGCCAGCAACAGATGATTACCTCCCTGGCCTCCAACTGCGAGAGGGATCATCACCCCCTACGGAAACGACTGCCAGCAAAAACGCTAGCATCACCCCTGGCCTAAAGCCGCCAACAGAACATCCCCACACCACTGCTGCCACGGCAATCCCGTGAAATGCCCCGCGGCTGCCCCGTGAAGCTAAAAGGATTGGCCCGAGGTCGTCCCGTGGCGGGAGTGGTAATCCGTGGGTAGAAATTCGATGGCACACTAGAAATGCATCATAAAGGTGACGGGGTGTGGCGGAAGAGGGGCCCAAGCAGCAGCAGGAGCCCTGGCAATGCCGAGGGGGTCACCGCTGAGGGGGGTCGCCACCACCCCGAGGAGGACAACCCCTCAGGACCCCTGGGCCCCCAAGAACCTCCAATGATGCGCAGATCGTCAGGAATCTCCTCGAACGCTAATCTTAGGTCGGGCCTGTCCCTCTACAGGGAGATTTTGGACGAAAAACTAAAAATACCCCAAAAATATTCCCAAAATGCCCCAAAAAAGTCAAAAAAACAGCCCCCAGACAATTGCCCCACATGTTTCGTGGGGTTTGGGTTTTCATCCCTGCCGCGTCGCACCCACGACCCTCACCCACCTCACCTCCTCCTCCTCCTCCTCCTCCTCCTCCTCCTCCTCCTCCTCCTCCTCTCCTCCTACCTCCTGCTCCGCCTCCTCCTCCTCCTCCTCTCCTCCTCTTCTCCTCCTCCGCCTCCCGCCTCCTCCTCCTCATCCTCCTCATCCTTCTCCTTCTCACACAGCGCAGCACAGCTCAGCACAGACTCCCCTCCTCCTCCTCCTCCTCTTCCTCCTCCTCCTCCTCCTCTCTCCTCCTCCTCCTCCTCCTCCTCCTCCTCCTCTCCTCCTCCTCCTCCTCCTCCTCCTCCTCCCCTCCTCCTCCTCCTCCTCCTCCTCCTCCTCCCCCTCCTTTTCCTCCTCTCCTCCTCCTCCTCCTCCTCCTCCTCCTCCTCCTCCTCCTCCTCCTCCTCCTTCTCCTTCACACACAACACAGCGCACCACAGCGCAGCAGAGTACAGCACAGCACAGCACAGCTCAGCACAGCACAGCACACAGCACATTGACACACAGCACGCACACAGCAGCACAGCACAGCATTGCTCAGCACAGCTCAGCTCAGCTCAACACAGCACAGCACTGCTCAGCAGAGCCCACCTCAGCTCAGTCCAGCACAGCACAGCACAGATCAGCTCAGCACAGGTCCAGGGCACAGCAGGCGTGGCATTCTCTCGACCCCACACGGGGTGCGCAGGGGGTGGTTTCCTTATGCGCGTCTCTCGTCCAGGGAACAGCAGGCGTGGCATTCTCTCGGCCCCATAGGGGGTGCGCAGGGGGTGGTCTCCCTATGCGCGCCTCTCGTCCAGGGCACAGCAGGCGTGGGATGATCTCGACCCCGGGGGTGCGCAGCGGATGGTCTCCCTACGCGCGCCTCTCGTCTGTGGCACAACAAGCGTGGCATTCTCTCGACCCCATAGGGGGTGCGCAGGGGTGGTTTCCCTATGCGCGCCTCTCGTCCAGGGCACAGCGGGCGTGGCATTCTCTCGACCCCAGAGGGGGTGCGCAGGGGGTGGTCTCCCTACGCGAGCCTCTCGTCCAGGGCACAGCAAGCGTGGCATTCTCTCGCCCCCATAGGGGGTGCGCAGGGGGTGGTCTCCCTATGCGCGCCTCTCATCCAGGACATAGCAGGCGTGGCATGCTCTCGACCCCATAAGGGGGTGCGCAGGGGGTGGTCTCCTATGCGCGCCTCTACAGGCGTGGCATTTCTCGACGGGGGTGCGCAGGGGGTGGGGCAGTCGTGGCCTCTCGGCGCGCTCCCTATGCGCGCCTCTCGTCTAGGGCACAACAGGCGTGGCATTTTCTCGACCCCATAGGGGGTGCGCAGGGGGGGTCTCCCTATGCGCGCCTCTCGTCCAGGGCACAGCAGTCGTGGCATCCTTTCGACCCCACAGGGGGTGCGCAGGGGGTGGTCTCCCTATGCGCGCCTCTCGTCCAGGGCACAGCAGTCGTGGCATTCTCTCGACCCCACACGGGGTGCGCAGGGGGTGGTCTCCCTATGCGCGCATTTCGTCCAGGGCACAGCAGGCGTGGCATTCTCTCGACGCTTGAAGCATATAGGGTGCGCAGGGGGTGGTCCCGCTATGCGCGCTTCTCGTCCAGGGCACAGCAGGCGTGGAACTTTCTCGACCCCATGGGGGGTGCGCAGGGGGGGGTCCCGCTATGCGCGCCTCTCGTCTTGGGCACAGCGGGCGTGGCATGCTCTCGACCCCATAGGGGGTGCGCAGGGGGTTGTCCCGGTATGCGCGCCTCACGTCCAGGACACAGCAGGCGTGGCACTTTCTCGACGCCAAATGGGGTGCGCAGTGGGTGGTCCCACTATGAGCGCCTCTCGACGGTAGCAGCAGGGTAGCGGCTGCGAGCGTTGTCCACATGTTGCACGTCAGCTACGCGAACACAAATGATTAAACGAAGTATGTGGGGTTCCTCGGTAACGTAATTTTTTACGATTTTCGAATATTCCTACTGTAGAGGGACAGGCCCGACTTGACGCTAATCCTCGAACCTCGATCCTCTGGGGGCTGGCGACCTCCCAAGCAGCGAAACCCCCCCGGCTCTGCCCGAGCGGAAGGCCGGCGGGGCACCCGAGGAAGGCCCTCCAGGACGCCCCGCGGGGGCGTCGGAGTGAGCTGGCGCGCCCTCGCCTCCGCGGCGTTGTCCGCCCTGCCGGGCAGGGGCGCGTACTGGTCCCCCTCTTCGAACAGGTGGCGGCGGCACACCATCGCCTGAGTCAGAGCAGCAAAACAAAGACGCACAAATGCTGAAGGTCGCCAGCGCGGGCCCCCAAAAAGCTCCTGGCGAAGGACCCAACCATATGGGCACCGCAATTGTGGATATCGTCTTCGGTGAAGCTCCCTATGGGGCCACAAAGCGCTGCACTGGGTGGGGGGGAACGCATGCCAGCGGTAGCAGTGGGGCCGTCGGTGGAGCTCCCTATGGGGCCACGAAACGCTGTAGTAGATAGGTGAAAATGCCATAATGGGTATGTGGGGCGCATGCGGGCGGTCCCCCTGGGGGCTCGGTGGAGCTCCCTATGTGACCACGAAACGCTGTACTAGATAGGCGAAAATGCCATGATGGGTGTGTGAGGGACGCATGCGGGCGGTCCCACTGGGGGCTTCGGTGGAGCTCCCTATGGGGCCACGATACGCTGTACTGGTTGGGCGAAAATGCCATGGCGGCCCCACTGGGGGCTTCGGTGAAGCTCCCTGTGAGGCCACGAAACGCTGTACTGGGTGGGCGGGTGAAAGTGCCAAAATGGGTATGTGGGACGCATGCGGGCGGCCCCACTGGGGGCTTCGGTGGAGCTCCCTACGGGGCCACGAAACGCTGTGCTGGGTGGGTGAAAATGCCAAATTGGGTTTCCAGGGCGCATGCGGGCGGTCCCACTTGGGGCTCCGGTGGAGCTACCTATGCGGGCCACGACACGCTATACTGAGTAGGTGATAGTGCCAAATTGAGCTTCCAGGACGCATGCAGACGGTCCCACTGGGAGCTTCGGTGGAGTTCCCATGGGGCCACGACACGCTGTACTGGTTGGGCGAAAATGCCACATTGCGTTTTTGGGACGCATGCGGACGGTCCCACTGGAGGGCTTCGGTGGAGCTCCCTATGGGGCCACGAAACGCTGTACTGGGTGTGTGAAAATGCCAAATTGGGTTTCAGGGACGCACGCGGACGGTCCCACTGAGGGTTGCGGTGGAACTCCCTATGGGGCCACGAAAAGCTGTACTGGGTGGGTGAAAATGCCAGTGGGGGCTTCGGTGGAGCTCCCTATGTGGCCACGAAACGTTGCACTGGGCAAGCGAAAATGCAAAACTGGGTTTCCGAGACGCATGCGGGTGGTCGGGGGCTTCACTGGAGCTTCCTATGGAGCCACGAAACGCTGTACTGGTTGGGCGAAAATGCCACCTTGGGTTTGGGTGTTTCGGACGCATGCGGGCGGTCCCACTAGGGTCTTCGATGGAGCTCCCTATGGGGCCACGAAACGTTGTACTGATTGGGCGAAAATGCCATATGGGGTTTTGGGACGCATGCGGACGGTCCCACTGGGGGCTTCGGTGGAGCTCCCTATGGGGCCACGAAACGCTGTACTACGTCCGTGAAAATGACAAGTTGGGCTTCTGGGACGCATGCGGACGGTCCCACTGGGGGGCTTCGGTGGAGCTCCCAATGGGGCCACGAAACGCTGTACTGGCTGAGTGAAAATGCCACATTGGGTTTTTGGGACGGATGCGGACGGTCCCACTGGGTGCTTCGGTGGAGCTCCCTATGTGGCCACGAATCGCTGTACTGGGTGGGTGAAACGCAGGGAGGAGGAGGGGGAGGAAGGAAGGAGGGAGGAAGAACGCGGGGACCGTCTGTTCAAAACGAAGACCCAACACCACAGGATGGTTGAGAAAAACAATGGGGCCCTGGCTCGGTTCTCGATGGAATGCAATCAGCGCAGTGCCTTCTACTGGATCCACACCACCAACGCAATATGCGCGAGCGATCACCTCCCATGCTCGTGCAAACATCCATCCTCCCACCCGCGACTGGTTGGCAAGGTTTACGTGGCCAGGACCTCAACGAGCGTACTGGCGCGCGGAACCCAACGGCACAGACAAGTCCGTCCTGCAGATCGCGAGTGTGTGGTGCGATGGCATCGACCGCGACGCCAACGACGATGGCAATGATTGTGGTGATGACGCTGACGCCGATGGTGATGACACTGGTCGTGGGGACGATACGATGTTGGTGATGATGACATGTTAATAACCTCGCCGTCGGTTTGTTGGCTCATTCCAAACCCGCCACCGAGCGAAGGAGGAAGAGGGAACGAGGGAGAAGAGGAGGAAGACGAGGCCGAGCGGGAAGCAACGGCGACCCCAAAACGCAGAAACGAAAACGCGGAAGGACAGGAAACGAGAAGGGAGGCGACAGACGACGAAACAAGGCGACAAAAGGCACAACGACAAAAGACGAGCAGGCCCAGATACGCGCCAGGGCGGTGCCACGGAGCCGGAATAGCTCAGTTCTGTTTCCGCTTGACATCTTTCGCGTTCGCAGAACAGTAGATCTATATACATATCTATATGTATGTATATGTATGTATATATGTATATGTATGCCAAAGGATGATACGTGATCTTAAACGCGTGA